TGCATAATAGAGCCTGGAAGCATGTGTCCTTCGCGTAGTTTTAGTAGCGTAGCAACGTACAAACGCCTAACTTCATCGTAAGGATCTTTTGCTGCCGGTAGTTCTTGTTCGTCACTACTATCATCGATATCAACGTCTGGTACAGCACCGACATCAGTGTCTACGTGTGAGGATGACTGGGATGTTACCGTAACAAGATTCTGAACATCATTTAAGATATCTTCCACATCGTTGACAGTTTCTTCCGCTGGATGTTTTTTTAAAAAGTGTCTCAGAAAAGAGCGAATGTTAGTAAATAAGAAATTTGAATCACACAGTGGACATATCGTTCTGAAATTTCTACTAGTGCCGTGACACATACGTACATGTCGGAGAAAAGCTTCACTTCCGTTTACGCGGCTATTACAGACCGTACATCTGTCTACTAAGTGAGACATTATCAAAAGTCACAAAAAGAAAGATTAAGAATCGTTATTTTGACTTAACCGTTATTGTCATTGGTGGCATATGTTAAAAGAGACGGTAGCCAGATAACCAGTGTGTTTAAATGTATCAGAAACGTTTTTCTATGTCAATTAAATCATTATGAGTAGAATAATCGTAAAATAAGTATAGTAATAAATTTTGAACTAAATTAAAATACAAAATGTAAAAATGAAATGGTGATCATCACGTCTTTTACGCTTCATCAAGACAGCCTCAAAAGTCTTCCACAGGAATAGCTACGCTTATTTCAGTCACTAATGCAGTAGTAGGTGTAGCTTTCTAGACTTCCATCGATTCACTTAAAATTGTAAACTAATCGAGGAAAAAAACAGTGCTTGCTTATTGTATAGAAGAGAAGCGAGCCAAACCTTCCACTGATCGGTGATGGAATGATATTATATCAAATGATGATCTAAGCTATTAAACGAAGCAAACACAACTGACACAAATCGAAGGGTTTGATCCACAGAAATGTATAATCTAAAATTAGAAGATAGCATCGAAAGAAACATTAGTATGCTAAGAAGTTACACGTGAGAGAAACAAATCTTCTAAAAGCTTTAGAAACGCGAAACTATTCTTCAGAAAATCTCACTTAAATCAATACTCGCTGTCAAAGAACTAAAGAAATAAA